CGCCACCGCTGCTCCCCGCCGCGCGCAGCCCCCCCGCCGCAGCGCAGCAGTACCCGGGGTCTGGTGGCCCCGGCCCGGGGCAGCTGGGAGCGCACAACAACGACAGCGGCGGCAATAGGGCGGGGCGGGGGGGGGGGGGGGGGGGCGCAGCGGGGGGGAAAACCCCCATTAAAAAAAACGCAGCAGTACGGCGCCCGGGGTCTGGTGGCCCCGGCCCGGGGCAGCTGGGAGCGCACAACAACGACAGCGGCGGCAATAGGGCGAGGCGGGGCGAGGCGGAGCGGCGCGCAGCGGCGCGAAATCCCCCATTTCGTGATAGCTTCCGGCGGGGGGGCGGAGAGGGGGTGACTCACTCGCGGCGCCAGGGATAAATACGCGGGCGCCTACCTGGGAGTGGTACAGGGTTCTCGGCGCCGAGCACCCGCAGAGCCTGAGCCACCGCGAGAGCCCCGCCGAGACATGATCCTGCCCTGCGCCCTGGTGGCTGCTCTCCTGGCTGCCGGCCACGCAGGTGAGTCCGTCCGCGTCCCCCTCCCCCCTGACGGCGGCAGGAGCGGGTCCGGCCGCGGGTGACTCGTGATTCCACCCATGACTGGGGTTTTCTTTTTTCTTTTCAATTGCAGATGTAATGATTCGGGTTTTTTAATGTCATGTATTCTTTTGTAATTTCTTGAATACTTGATGTATGGTAGGAAGGATGTCAGGCCTCCATTGGCCTATGTGAGACAATCCAGCCCTTCTGAGGGGGTTTATTGCTGTCACGAAACAGACAACTACGTATGCTTTTGTTAATAACTATTACCTGTAGTAGCCTAAAGTAAATGGATGCTCATTCTCTTGTCTTTCTGATAAGCATTAAACTTCAGCGCATTGTCTACCTGCATCTGAAAAATTAGCTCAGTGAGATGAGAACACCAGTATAGCCATATAAGATGCTAATCAGAGCATTTGCTTTCGATTCTAGCCAACCCTTGCTGCTCAAACCCGTGTCAGAACAGAGGAGTATGCATGACAACAGGATTTGATCAGTATGAATGTGACTGTACAAGGACAGGCTATTATGGCGAAAACTGTACGACACGTATGTATCCTAAATCTCTTTTCATGGAAATGACATTTGACAATTCAGATTCTAAATTGCAGGTTATTCTCAATAGCTAACTTAAAATAATCTTTCCATTGATGCTCACAGCGGAATTCTTCACATGGCTGAGGCTAACGTTGAAACCTTCACCAAATAGTGTCCACTACATCCTCACCCACTTCAAAGGAGCCTGGAATATCATCAACAACATTCCCTTTTTACGAGATGCTATTATGAGATATGTATTAACATGTAAGTATGAGTTCTCTCTTCCAGTTCTCTTAACTGGTAGAAGTTACTTGTAGGACTCGAGAATATTGTACTTGTACTTGATTGGTCAATATATAAAGTTAGCAAGCTAAATTGCACTGAGGTAAAAACACTCTAATCAAAATCTAAGATTTTTGGCATGATTGCAGACTTGTATGAAACATGCTTTGAAATGGAATGAATTTTGCTCTAATCTCTAATAGAGTCCAGGATTTTGCTAGCATAAACTTTGCACCAAATTGCTCATGTTAATAGTTGGATCCAGCTGATAATCCAGGACCCAGTCCTGTTATTCAGTAACTGTAATCCCATTTAACATCAGTAACAGATATGTGTGGAATTTTTAATTTGTTAATGCAACTGCTGCCAAACTATATGGAAAAGATCTGGCCTTGTGACTTACTTTGAGACTAAAATGTACAGTCTAAAAAAAAAAAAACCAAATGAAACATACCTTTTTCTCTTCCAGCAAGATCACACTTGATTGACAGCCCACCAACATACAATAGTGATTATAGTTACAAAAGCTGGGAAGCTTATTCCAATCTTTCCTATTACACAAGAAGCCTTCCACCAGTAGGACTTGACTGTCCAACACCAATGGGTGTTAAAGGTATGGAATAAACCATAATGTTCACTTTCTAGGAATTTCTGCTTATCTCATCCTTTTAGAATTTACCATGAGACTTCCTTGTCTATAACCTGTTTTCAGTGTAGTTCACTTTAAGAATAGCTGTGCTGTGAATACACTGTGTAAAGACCTAAAAGATAACCGTTCTTGTTCTCATTATTGAGTTACATGCTAAAAACAGGGAATTCAGAAGCTTCTAATAAAATCAAGAAAGTGAGCCTAGAAAAGCAGATAACTTCCATTATTTGTGTGCTGCTATCCTTCAATAATACATTGAAAGTCTTAAGACTTTTTGTTGGTAGGAACAAAATTAAGTATTGCATAAACAGTTGTCATGAATATCTCACTATTTCTTTCTCTCTCAGGTAAGAAAGAGCTCCCAGATTCAAAGCTGATTGTGGAGAAGTTTTTGCTAAGGAAAAAATTTATTCCTGACCCACAAGGCACAAATGTGATGTTCACATTCTTTGCCCAACACTTCACTCATCAGTTCTTTAAGACAGACCACAAGAAAGGACCTGGCTTCACTAAAGCTTTTGGCCATGGGGTACGATCATAGCTCTGTAACTGTAACACAGCACTTAGTTTTTAGGAGCTACCAAGCAGCTAGAATGGTATCTTACAGGTTGTCACGGTACACAAACACTGGTGCATGTACTGTGCAACACTGTCTGCCACAAACCAATGGGCTCACCTCTTCTGTAATTTCTCCTTAGGCAAAATTCCAGAACTTGATAGCATAGCTTTCTGGTCAGAACTGCTTGTGCAAAGCATGTGGTTCTGTTTAAAATTGCACAGTGATCTGTATGACTTTTTTTATTCTTCCCAAGAATCTGCTTTCACCTAAAGCTTGTTAGATAGTTCTGGATACTTGCTGGCTCTGGACTCTCTGATTGTAAAGAGCTGTGTCTAGCACTGTAAAGTGTCTAGTACGCTCCTGATTGAAGAGACTTAGTTTAAAAAAACTTCAAAAGCAGACTTGGATTTAGGATCTCTATCTACAAAACAGGCAGCCTTTGGACAGAGCTCTTATAAAATATGAGTGTAGTGTGTGTATGTCTAAAACAGAAAGCTATATAATATGTGTGTGTATATACAAAGAGCTGTTTGCATAATAGAAAGCTGCTGATGCTTTAAACAGGGTCCTCATAAATTGCCAGTCAACTTAAAAACTTGCTCTTGTGCAGAGATGGTTCCAGTTGCCAGGAAATAATTTGGCTTCATCTTAAAATATCAGTGCATGATACTTATAAGGTAACAATAATATAATTATAAAGTAAACATCTAAGGGGTGAGCTCCTATTGGAGTGGGACATATCCTAAAATAGCAAAAAATGTGGCTTGGCTTCATGTTCCAAATGCTTTTATTTTATAGGTTGACTTGAACCATATTTATGGAGAGACTCTCGAGAGACAACTTAAACTGAGACTTCTAAAGGATGGAAAGCTAAAATACCAGGTATGTTTTACCTCAAAATTTCTGCCTTCTTATTGGATGACATATATTTCCTAAAACTAGTCTAAAGTCAGTACTAACAGAATCAACACAGCTAAACTCAAAGCATCGTAGCTTACGACTCTCTCATTCTTTGTCCCTCCCCCTGGCAGATGATTGATGGAGAAATGTATCCACCAACGGTAAAGGACACTCAGGCAGAGATGATCTACCCTCCCCATGTACCTGAACACTTGCAGTTTTCTGTCGGGCAGGAGGTGTTTGGTTTGGTCCCAGGCTTGATGATGTATGCTACAATATGGCTGAGGGAACACAACCGGGTCTGTGACATCCTGAAACAGGAGCATCCAGAGTGGGATGATGAGCAACTGTTCCAAACTACTAGACTCATATTGATAGGTGAGTGTCAGTTTTACTACATGCAACTCTAACCTTCTCTTGAGCATGACACTTCTACCCATTACACCTACTCCAGCTGCAGTAGATAGTAAGATAAAAAGCTATTACTTATATCACTGTGTGAGGGCATACATCTGAGCCTTCATGACCTGTCACTGCGATTGTATTAAGATACAGCTTCCTCCCAGCTATGTTAAAGACAGAACTGAAGAAAACTGAGCTAAGTGATACTTAATTCCCTTATCTAAGAGAAACAGAACTGAAAGCAATTAAAAGGCAGGAAGCTGAAGTTCATTTCTCAGAGAGAAAGCATGTGAGGCTAGATGACCTCAGACTGTCAGATTTTGTGGGGGTTTTTGTGGGTTTTTTCCCTGGGGTTGGGTCAGTTCAGGTATGCTTTAAAAGAAAGGCTGTGATTAAGTCTAAAGTTCAGGAAGTTATGTAAAATGTAATTCTGCATACTTCTCCTGTCTAGTTATCTGTTCAGTGGTATTTTATGTAAATGGTGATGTACACTAGGCTTGAAAAGACCTTGCCCAAACTGTGACTGAAACAGTAAACCAAGACAATTTTAAGCAGCTCAGAAGCAGAGTTGCTTTCAGATACCAACTTTCTTCATTATCTCCTACCTCTATCCTAGAGAGTATTGCATAACTGAACACAGTGTAGATACTGATGTGTGCTGTTCTGTGGAACATACAGGGAAGGGTATCTTGGGGGTTCTCTACCACAGCCAAAAACTCTTGGGATCTTCAGTACTGTTCTACCCCTTACTCTTAGTCACATAAAATATGTGAATCATTTTCTGTAAAAGATAACAAAATATTGAAGCATTTGTTATCCTGATCACTGTAGTTTGTGTGGCTTTTTTTTAGCAGTTCAGAAATGGTATTTTCTCTCAGAGCAGGGTAACCACCGTAAGTTTCCCAGGGAACCAGTACCAATATTCTCTTATGTTTTATTGATCAACAGGAGAAACAATCAAGATTGTTATTGAGGACTACGTGCAACACTTGAGTGGCTACCACTTCAAACTCAAGTTTGATCCTGAACTGCTGTTCAACCAGCAATTTCAATACCAGAACCGAATTGCAGCTGAATTCAATACTCTCTACCACTGGCACCCACTTCTGCCTGACACTTTCCAGATACATGACCAGGAGTACACTTTCCAGCAGTTCCTCTACAACAACTCTATAATGCTGGAACATGGCCTTTCCCATATGGTGAAATCTTTCTCCAAACAAAGTGCTGGTAGGGTAGGTACTTTTAAGTTGCTAGTGAACCAACAGAGAAATAACCTGGGGGTGGGGCAAGGGGGTAGAATAAAGTGCTATCCAAAACTAATCATGTACTATAAAGGCACAACTTCCTCATGACTCTTATCAGGAGATCTTACTACTTTTCATCTTTGTTAAATAGGTTGCTGGTGGGAAGAATGTTCCTGCTGCGGTACAGAAAGTAGCAAAAGCTTCAATTGACCAAAGCAGACAAATGCGATACCAGTCCTTGAATGAGTACAGGAAACGCTTCATGTTGAAACCATTCAAATCATTCGAAGAACTTACAGGTAACAGTTTCATCCTTTCTAACAAACAAGGGCCCTTTTCTTAAAATGGCTAACGGAGTCCTGCAATGCTATTACTGGACTTGAACAAGGTGGTGTTGCAAGGGAAAATAGGATTTTTTTCCACTTACAGTTTTTACTTATCAATTACAGGAGAAAAAGAAATGGCAGCTGAACTCGAAGAGCTTTATGGAGACATTGATGCTATGGAGCTCTACCCAGGCCTTCTTGTAGAAAAGCCACGACCAGGTGCCATCTTTGGTGAAACAATGGTGGAGATTGGAGCACCGTTCTCTCTGAAAGGACTGATGGGAAATGCTATCTGCTCCCCTGAGTACTGGAAGCCTAGCACCTTTGGTGGAAAAGTGGGCTTTGACATAATCAATACTGCCTCCTTACAGAAGCTCATCTGCAACAATGTGAAAGGCTGCCCTTTCACTGCTTTCCACATCTTAAATCCTGAACCCACAGAGGCAACTATTAATGTTAGTACCTCAAAAACAGCAATGGAAGATATCAACCCCACACTACTACTGAAAGAGCGGTCTGCTGAGTTGTAAAAATCCATCTATTTATTTAAATAATTTATTCTATTTATGGCTTAAAGTGTTTAAAAACAAAAAACCTTGAGCATCTTCATTGTGGGGGTTGCCCTAGATTCCTTACTTGGGTAAGGCTTCCATTTACGAAAGGGATTTTCTGTGTTTGAGCTCTACAGTGGTGAATCCCTTGTTTAAAGTCTTCTGTAACAGAACTATGTATTCCAAAGTGGACAAAGGTTCCAACTTTTTTTTAATGTTGTTTTAATACTTGACAAAGGGTGTTGCTGTTTTTTGTGTTTTCACTTGATAGGTCACATAACACTACCAAAGCAAGTTACTGCCTCAGCAACTTTCTAAACTTGAAAACAGGCCATTGAACTAAAAGTACAAGAAAAATTTGACTTAATGAAAACTGCTGGAAAAGATTATGAATTCAGTATGAGCACTCCAAGATTAACAAAAAATACATATACTTGAGACTCACTTATGTAAAGTCAGAAAAATGCATTGTGTTTATTGTTGATACTACCTCTCCCTCATTGCAAATAAGGCACTTTGTATAGTAACTTACATGTTTGTTTTTATGTGTAAATCTACTTTTATGTGGCATTATACTTTTTATAATTTAATTATTTAAAGAAAATAGAACTTCTCTTGGGTCCTACTTGTTTTTTTGAAGCATATGTCACAAGTATTATTTAAGTAAGAGGACGATAATAAGGTACTGAGCTTAGAAATAACTGACTCTCAGGCTGCAATACAAGGCTGGTTGTATTTTGATACAGATGTTTTATTGTGCAAGTTTGGGGAGGTCTTAAACTTAGTTCAAAGTATTGGTATTATTTTCATAGCTGTAGTTCTCTGATCTACTTGATAATGTAATTTTAATCTCTGTCACTTTAAGGACAAATGGACAGTATAGCTTTAGTTAAGGATATGACTGTAGTATAGCTCTGTGTACCCAAAACATGGAGATTATTGGGGGAATAGTGAAAACTGAGAAGCTGTGTAACATACACAGCAGAGAAATGAATACAGAACAGGTCTAGCAAAACTTTAAGGCACCAAGACTTGAAGGTAGCTTATGTCTATGTACACAAGCCATACTTGTGACTTGTAGTTCTATTTATTGGGGGGAGGAGGGATAATGTTTTGTTTGTAAGTTATAAACAGAGGCATTTTAATTTAAGTGGCTTAAGCTTAAATAAAACTGGTTTGCTAGCACAAAATCTCCTAGGTATTATTTGTCCTGATCCAGCAGTGAAATAACTAGTCTCATCTGGGCACATAAGTTACACAGAATCTTGTACCAGCACTGTAGACCTTGTATATAAGGGTATCTTTTTTTAATTTCTAGAGAGGAAGTGTAGAAGATGATCTTCCCATAAAAACAGCTGGGGAACTATAGGTAAAAAGAAAAAGTCACTTCAGACTGGAATAGAGCAGCAACCTGGTATACTGTGCCCCTACCTAAAATTCCTTGACTACTTGTGGAAAAGGACTTGAGTTTTATATTTCATCTGAATCTCTCAAACGTTTGTAGAGGCTTGTGCATTATAATGGCTATGGAGTAGTATAGTTTGTGACTTCTGTTTCTGTTGATTTGTTTAGAGACACTCATTACCTTATGCTGTGTAAGTTTATAATTGCTAGCATGAATAGCTGAATCAAGATCTCCTATAGCGATCAATACTGGTGACTGATTTGAGATGGTCTTTGGTATGAATGCTTTGGGAGAAAGAAGGGCATTCGTTTTCCTTTTTCTATTTGAAGCATGAAGCAGGGAAAAACTTAATTACCTTGTATTAAAAGGTGATCAGTACTGTATATGTTAATAAGTGAAATCTGCTTGGACACTTGTTAAACATGTAATTGTCATTTGGATCCATCTTTGGAACAGTCTTCCTCAGAGCACCCTTCTGCCATTAACAAGGAAAAGTGTTTGACTCTAAGCCAAAGCTTGGACCCATCTAGTTATTGTGGGGTAGGTAAAGAGAAATTCCTGAGACCATGTCATTTGAGTTAAGCTATAAGCTGCTTCAGAAAGGGATAATGTTCAGTCTGCATTTTGTACTCTGCAGCCACATTTCAACAGTTACTTATCTGTGACCCAACCTGCTGGGTTTGGCTGGGTTCAAGTTGCTTGTGATATGTGTGTATGTTTGAGATTATTTATTTAAAATTCTGTGAATTGTTCTTCATTTTATTTTTGTAGGACAAGAATGTTTTTAAAATGCAGTTGTTTATATAAATAAATTGAAAACATTACCTGTATAGGCTCACTTGCTTGTGATTCCTTCAGCAATATTTAGTATGAAACAACTCTTTCATCTTGCTTGCCACTCAAGATTAAATGGAGAATTCCAGGAAATTACTAGCACCATTAAATTCTCTCATATCTCAAGATGAAGATGCCTGTAACCTAATAGGGTTATTTTTTTTTCCCTTTGGTCACCAGTGAAAAGGGATTTCGCTAGCATCCCTAGAGAAGCCAGCTGCTAATCACCATACCGAAGATGCCAGCAATGCTCTCTCTTGAGTACCTAAGTGCTTTAGAAGGAAAGTACAATATTGGAGTTGCACAACACCAAGTTGGTGTAACCAACCTTTCTTCGCCACTATTGAGTGCTAAAACTTTCCCAAGTAAGAACAGTCCCTAGGTGTTTCTCTTCAAGCTTAGGGGAAACTGCTTTGGGATACAAGCAACCACTGGACAAGGCCTTTGCACTTGAGCATGTTTTCAGCAGTGGTAGCTGTCCCTGTAGTCAGACAGCAAACTCTGAAGCTGTGACAGCTGCTTCTTCATTGACTGCCTTCCCTCTGCACAAGGGTCCTGCTTTGTTATCTTTATCACAGTTACTGACTTAACTTTGCAAAGAGTGAATCAAGCTGGGAAAGATGGGCAGTGGGGCTAGGACAAGAGCAGTGGTGTGCTTAAAAACAGAGGCAGGAATTGCATGAGTTGGTGCAATGTGTTCCTCTCCTATAGAGAGCACCTCTGAGGCCACCCAGTCTCTTCCCTACATTTTCATGTCTGATAAGAAATGAGGGGAAGCTATGAGGGAGACAACAGAGGGGATCATGCGCCTTGTACTGCCTCAGTCAATTCCTACCACCTCCACCCAGCTGCTGACCAAATGTCACCTCCAGCACCCTTCTGTGCTCAGCCTTCCACTGTCATCCCACTGTTGACTGTCTCCAATACTCCCCCATCCCAATATTGGTGCCCTGTCCTCTCACAGCCTCTTCCTAGTGATCAACCCTATAGTCACAGTCCTTCACCCAGAGTCACCTTCCTTCCAACCACCCAAAATCCTCTTTGGTCCAAAGCTCATCCCAGTGACCCGCAGCTCTATATTCTTAACAACCCTCCAGCCCTGGGAATATGACAGTCCTCCTGCCTCTGCTCTGTAGCTGCTTTCCATCTCCACCAGTGTGCAGTTCCCTTATGTTGCTATTGTACCCAGGCTCCTAAACACCTCCAGCAACCCTCCTTAACTTAAAACTCAGTCCTCATCACTTCAGTGACCATCTTCAGCCCCAAAAATGCGATGTCCTGAGGGCCATTCTAAGAGCATCACTCCAGTCCCTCTCCTGGCCGCAAGTGGAGGCTGTGGGTGAGAAGAAGCACGTGCAAACCATGTATGAACAATGTGGGTTTTTTTTCTTTAATAACAAGTCGACTCGTTTGCTCTACAAGTTAATTCGTTTCTGACATGTTTCTGTTTCGAGGGGAAGTCGAGTGAGGGAGCAAGCGAAGAGGCCTGTCGCTTCAGCGGGAGGAGCACGGGCTTGGCTGCTGCCACTGCGCAGGGAGGTGTGGCAGCAAGAAAGCAGCAGCGAGGTCATCCATGGAGAAGGTGTTTTGGGTGACTGTTGCCCTAATTAGGGAAGGGCCAGTCCAGATGGATGCAGCACATGATGGATGAGATATAGCTTGATCGTGGAGGAACTCCTCCTTCCCTCTGAGCAGGGGCATGTCCTGATGATACAAAAGGCAAGAATGTTCCTCAGAGGAAACCTGCCCTGTGAAATACTTGCTCTCCAGCCTGGGTTGAGGTAACTGTTTCACCTAAGGCAATGCGGTAAAGGAGGGGGGCTCAGCGTTTAAGTCATACCCTTGGAGGGAAGTCCATCAAGGAGTACAAGAGCCCTGTGCTTTGGGAGGAGGTCACTGTACACCATCACCTTTACTGAGGGCTTTTTCTGTACGTCATTTGCTCACTTGCCCACTGCGTAAGAGGTCTTTACGGGTGCTGAGTCGGAGCCCTGTGGGCATCTGACCAGGTTAATTACTTCTGATACACTCGCTGGAGGTGCACTGACCTTTACGCTGGAGCACTAAGGCAGCCGCTTTACCCAGATTTCAGGAGACATTTCTATCACAAGCAACTTCTGCTTTGCAAGAAAATACCCCTTCAGCTTTTGGCATCAATCCAGAAAAGTCAACACGTAGTTTGATCAAGCTGCAGGAAGGGTATGAAGGAGAGAGAGAACACGGTTAGAGGGGAACGGACACCTCACTTGTTCCTTGCCTGTTCACAGCTACTGAAATAGGTGAACAGCTCTGGAAAAGCTTATTGTAGAGATGTACTGTTTCCTTTGGAAGACCAGAAAGGAAAAAGCCTGCAAGTGGAAAAAATATATATATATATATA